TGGTTGTTTTCCATCTGTTTGTGTGTGCGTGTGATTGAATAAACGGTAATTTTTTTAAAAATTTAGTTTAACGGTAATTTGAAATTTTCCAATGGAATGTTTAAATTAGTTTAATAAAACAACAACAACAACAACAAAAATTAAACTTATTCTCGTACACAAACGTATTTACATTTGAAACCGTTCACACACAAAAAAAACGTGAATTTTATTATTATTATTTTATAAATAAATAATTTTACGAAAAAAAAAAAAAAAATTAAGAGGTCACGTGGGATAATTTTTAATAATTTTTTCTTAGTTAAATTTTTTTTTTTTCTGTTTAACGGTCGAAATTCGAACGTTTGGGATCGTTTGTCGTTAAAAAATATATATATATATATATAAAATAAGGACAATAATTTTTTAATAGAAAAAAATAATAATGATGATGGGTAATAATAATAATAATAAAACAACAAATCATTGCACCGGGTTAAAAAAAACTATAAGTTTATTTAAAAAAAAAAAGACAGGATGTGCAGGAACTAACTCCTATTTTTTTTTTTTTTTTTTTTTTTTTTGTTTAAGAGTATTAAAATTGGCTAGGTTAAGTACCTAGTAAACCATAAAATAACCCTGTTAGAGTGATTTTAACGATCAATTTACCATCTCATTTATATATATTTCGATATCCACGATTTAAGTCAGGTTCTCTCTCTCTCTCTCTCTCTCTCTCTTTCGATGATGTGATTATTGTTTTTTTTTTTTTCCCTTAATTCCCCATGAGAAAAAAGAAAGAGAGAGAGAGAGAGAGAGAGAGAGAGAGAAAAAAATTGGTAGCAGCTGTAAATTTGAAAAAAATTTTTTTATTTTATTTTATTTTATTTTTTTTTCGAAAGGTAAATAATAATAATAATAATAATAATAATGATAGTATAATGGGATTCGATTATTCCGTTTTTGAAATAAGGTAATTTTCTTAATTTATTTCAGGTTGGAAAGATTGGTTCGTTTGATTTTTTTTTTTTTTTTTTCAAATAACATGCAACTAAAATATATTTATTTATTTTTTTTTTTTTTTATGTTTTGATTTTTAACTTTTTTTTTTATTATTATTAAGGGAAAGTTTTGCAAAAAAAAAAAAAAAAAAAAAAAAAATGAGTGAAATAGTTTTGTGTTCACGCTTGTGAAGGATAATGTTTTTTGTTTGATATTTGCCCTTCGAATTAACAAAAAAAGAAAAAGAAAATTGTAGAGTACAATTTTTTATAAATTATTAGTTTAGGAATAAAAAAAAAAAAGAAGATATATATTTGTTTTTACATTTCGTTTAAATAAATAAATAAAATAATAATGATAATAATAATGATGAGGAAATGATGATTCGTGATTTAAATTGAGTTTTTTTTTTTTTAAAACATTTTTGTTGTTGTTGTTGGAAAGTTGAAACTTTTACCACCACCACCACCACCACGCGTTCGAAATAAAAATAATAATAATAATTAATTTGTTATTTACCTTCTACTAAAGAAGTTAATAGAGTAACGTTTGCTGCTTTTCTTCTTCCTGCCGGAAGATTCAGTCCAATTTTTTCCAATTTTTCACGTAAAAGTCGTCCGCCATTTTTAGACTTTGCTCTGTGGAAAAAAATCGTATCATTGTAATTAAATTTCTTTCTGTTTTTTTTTTTTTTTTTTGTTACAACGGGGAGAAAGATTTTTTTTTTTTTTTTTAATACAATGAATGAATGACGGGGATGGAGTAAAAAAAAAAAAAAAATTTTTTTTTTTTTTCTCGAAGATCTCGTTTAAAACTTTTTTTTTTTTTTTTAATAATTTCTTACATTTTTTTTTTTTTTTGTTTCGTTTAGAATATTCGAAATCTTGTTATTCATCACGTTTTCAATCGTGATTTTAAATGATGTAAATTTTAAAACCGATTAAATAAGAAGAAAGATGAAAAAAGGAAAAAAAAGGAACGAATTTTCTTGAGTTTCTGAAATCTTTCTCTCTCTCTCTCGTTCCTTCGTTCGTTCGTTCGTTCGTTCGTTAAAAAATTTACTCCATTTTGTTTTTTTTTTGTCTCTCTCTCTCTCTCTCTCTCTCTCTCTCTCTCGTTTTTTGTAATTCATTAGGGAAAAGTAATACGGACGACAATAATTTTATGTAAAATTCCTCCCCCCACCCCCCTTTAGATTTAAACATTGCCAATCGTTTTAAAATTGTTTTATTGTTTACAACAACAAATTTTTTCTTCTAGAAATAATTAAATGTCTGGAAATGAAATTTTTTCTTATACCATGCCAGGCTTTTCTTTTGTTTTGTTTTTTTTTGGCCATATTTAGATTATCAAAGTTCAAATTATCAATTTCGTTATTATTTTATATGGTTACGTACGTACGTGCAAGTCATCGAGTAAAATTAAAAAGCTAAAGTTAAAGCTAAAAAAAAAAAATTATTTCGTTAGTCTAAAAACCCGTAATTAATAATTAAAAAAAAAAAAAAAAGTATTTATTTTAATAATTTGACCAAATATGCCAAATTGTTAAAAAACAAAAAAAGAAATTTTAACATTTTTTTTCTTTACATTTTTACCGTTTTTAATTATTGATTGATTGATTAATTAAATTGTATTTTAAATAGAATTATTCGAATGATCGAGGGAAATTGTTTTTTTTTTTTAAAAAAAAAAAAAAAAAAAAAAAAGATACAAACGTTAAAAAAATTTAATAAATTCGTCAAGAAACAATTTCCGTGATAAATAAAATTAATTGAATTAATATTTGTATATATAAATAATTTTTTTTTGGGGAGGGGGGAAGGGGGAGGGATTTTACTTAAAAATTATATTAAAATATTATCAAACATATTTTTCTTCTTCAATTTAAATAAAATAAGTAAATAATTAATAAAAAATGTCCGCTAAAAAAAAAAATCTGGCACGGGTCGATCGATCGATGGCAACAAAAAAAAAATGACAGTTAATTATTCACGGCAAGTATGCGTGTGCGTGTGCGTGAGTGCGTGTGCATTTGTTGTTAAGTAGGTATAAAAAATATTTTGTCATGATACGAATATTTTTAAATACCCCTTTAAAAAAAAAAAAAAAAAACGCCGCGTTAAAACATATATACGAAAAAAAAATTACACGTTTTAATTTAAAAAAAAATTTTTTTTTATTATCATTATCATTATTAATAATAATAATAATAATCGTAGCGAAAAGTGGTTCGAGATAATTTTCATTTTGCAATAAATAATTAGTGGAAAGATAGAGAGAAAGAGAAAGAGAGAGAGAGAGAGAGAGAAAATTAAAAATGTCGCGCGTACGTGTTTTCTACAAACACGTTGTTGTTTGAGTCGTTCATTAATTATCCAGACACACAAACGCGATGGAAAAATTTTTAATTTTTTGGTTGATCCCTCGGATCCCCCGATATTAGGGATTTTCCGTGCTTTCCAACGAATCAAAATATTTTAAATCGTTTAAAAAAAAAAAAATATGGCGCGGATTTTCTTCCATCTTTTAAATAATTACGTCATTTTTTAAATAATTAAATTTAAAAGATTTAAATTTTACTTTCGCGTTCATTACGCGTGCCGAGGGTGCGTGCGTGAGTGCGTGCGTGTACATTTAATTTCAACGCCTATAATCCTAGACGTAATCTAACTGCAAATTATAATTATTATTACGTTTTTTTTTTTTTTTTACTCTTGTTTCTTAATTATCATGTCGTGTCGTGTCAGTACCTGCATCTCTCAATTATTATTTTTTTATTTATTTATTTTTTTATTTACGTCAGATTTTAAATTAATGATGATGATAATAATAATAAAATAATTTTAAAAAGATTTTAAATAAAAATTATTATTATTCACATATTTATGAAATTTAAAAATGAATTCTTTTGCTGAAATTAGTAGTTTGGTAAAAAAAAATTTTCTTTCGAGGTGTTAGGCATGAATCGTATGGAGATTAAATCTCAGTCAGCATCTAATTTATTTTAAGATGAAAATTTTTTTTTTCCTACGAATGAATGTAATTTAAAATATTGGTTATGATCTCGCGAGATGATAAAAAAAAAAAAAAAAGGAAATAACGGCGTTATTATACATTTATATGACCGGTCGGTTCGATTCAATTGTTTCATTTTTATTATTATTATTATTATTATTAATTTAACGTTAAACAAGTAGTAGCTCGATAAACAAGAAGTCGTTAAAAAATTAAAATGAAACGAGGAAAAAAAAAAAAAAAAACGGGAGCAGAATAAAAAATAATAATAAATCCGATCGGAAAGATATATGTAAATATATATATATATATATACGTTGTATATAATTATACTCACGCACGTAGGCACGCACGTATTCACGCACACGTATATAATTAATGGAATTTTCCTTTTATCATGTAAAAAAAATTCAATAATAATAATAATAATAATAATAAAATAGAAAGGACAAATTTTTTTTTTTTTCTCTCTTTTAATTGTCGCAATTTTGCGTGTCGTCGATTTCAATTAAATAAAAAAAAATATATATATATATATGGATATTATTATTATTATTATTATTATCGTTATCATTATTAGTATTATGATTTTACATTATGAAAAAATGAAAAAAAAAAAAAAAAAAAAAATAAGAATTTCCGACGCGTGTTTTTATCAAACAATAAAAATTATAATGATGAGCAAAGATGAATAATAATAATAATAATAATAATAATAATAATAATAATAATAATAAAAATGAAATTAGACCTCATCAGACAGCTTCTCTGGACCAATTGCGGTCGTTGAACTCTTATATATTTTAATTTAAAAAGACTAGTACGACTTTTGTTAATTCAATGCGATAATTCATTTTTTTTATATTTAAAAAAATTTTTTTTTTTTTTTTAGGGAGTGATTTTAATTGCATCGTAAGAAAACTATAACCGTACGTGATAATTATAATTTCGAGTCATTCTTTTTTTGTTTTTTTCCCCCTTTTTTTTCCTTTTTTTTTTTTTTTTTTTTTTTTTAATTATTTAATTTTGTATAATAATCATAGAAAGAATAAATTATAGTAATCAACCGTAAAAGGCTCATTCGTCCATTTTATATATTTTTTTTTTTTTTGTGGAGTAACAACGCACGTACGTATATGTAAAAAAAAAAAAAC